CGCTCAGTTCGCTGTTGGTAAACATAAAGATAGGCCATAGGCTGTTACACTTAGCTAGCAGTTATTTAATTTGATTGCTCAATTTACTTAGTAAGACAAAAAACAATTTGAGAATCCAGAGAGACATGAAGTTATATTACAGGTTAAAGCAACATATTTCATAACCTGATAGAACAGAATAGCTAATGTCAGGGTTAAATCACGTCCTAGCTTTTTTTTTTTAGTTAGCTAAGAAATAACCTAAAGCTTAGTTTGCTTTTGGTATATAAAAAGATAGGAAGCGTTTAATTCTTAGCTAGCAGTCATTATAGAATTCAGCCCCTTCTTATCTAAAATTACTTTTAGCTAAGAATTAAAGCTGTTAGCTAAAAAAAAAATGTCCTTTAATATCCCATAATCTTACAATAAATGCTAAAATGACAGTTTTAAAGTGTTAGCTCATAATATTTTCTATATTACAGTATATAAAGCTTGAAAGTGGTTAAGGGCTTAAAAATTAAAGTTGAGTGTGCTAAACCATATAAAACAGAAAGGTGTAGCAGTTTTTCGCTTTCAGTGCTTTCAGCTAATCTAATGGGTTATCAAATACTGTGTTTCAAATTAAACTAGGATCCTATTTCAGTTTTCACTCTACATGGCCCTTCCATATCCTGAATTATCATATGCAATGATAATGATCTATTGATTCGCTACATCTACACTTTTAAATCATTGATGACAGCAGCATTATACAACATTAATATACCTTTTATGTTGCAGACTTAACATGACCTCGGACTAGAGTGACCTGATTTCGGGCTTACATTAGAATCTGCTTGTCTAGATTGATTGCAGAAGGATTTATCTGACTGACTATCAAATTCCTCATTTACATCACATGGGGTACGTTATGCTCACAGAAGGTACACGTCTGGCTCTGAACGCCCAGCTGTACTCCAGACCACACCCCCCATAACCTGCCAGAAAGACACAGTGGTCACGTCTGCTGCAGGGCACACATAATTAACCCCAATTAATCACGTTTTTGTCAGGTTCCTTTCCTCATTTAATTGAACCTTCGAGTCAAAAGATTTTTACCATTTATTTGCACTTGATTCTGGGATTTGTGAACCTTATGTGATATTTTTCTTCTGTTTTTTTAAACATAATTTCATCTTTTTTTAAATGCAATATTTAAACTAATACTGCCTCTTTCATAAATGTCTCTAGAGAGAGAAAGAGAGAGAGAGAGACTCCTCCAGTTTGCACTGGGGAGTAAATATAGAGTTTGCTGTGTCATGGTAAGACAGACACACACTATCTGCATAGGCAACATTAATAAATGGATTACTGATTTGTTAGGAGGGTGCAGTTTAGAGATGGAGCCAGGGGATGTGGGCTCGTCTGCCTGGCGGTGCCTGTCCTGCGGGAGCTCTTGGGCGACCAGCAGGAGGATAAGAGGCCCACTGTGGGCTGCAGATGGTGCACTGCCTGTGATGGAGGAGGGAGCGAGGGGATAGAGATGGAAAGGCTCACAAAGCCTGCCTCCACCCACCTCCCCTCATCGCCAATCGACCCAAATGATTCCACTGCTCCAGAAGAATTCCCAGTTGTGGTGTGGATAGAGGGAGGGATGGAGGGAGGTTGGACAGTGGTCCACATGCAGCTGGGTTACAGCATCAAGGTCCGACCCTCAGGGGGGCGACACAATTTTCTCTTAATGGAAAACAAGCATTGCCCGTGACCTCGACTTTGGTTTGTCCCCATGTGGTAATTTCTGTTTCCCTTAACCTCTGGGCATATCTTTTTCCCTTTTGTGCTGCTGACTGTCTCATGGTCTGCTTCTCACTTCTGCTTATTTTCTGCTGTCTGAGCTCAGAGACACGACTACAGAGTGGAGCCTGTCTGCTCCGCTGTTGCTCATGCATGGCCTGTCATAAAAGAGCTTATTTAAAGACTGACACAACTGTGACACATAGTTCTGCTCTCCCCATGACGCCTTATAACCTCACAGAGAGGGGATTATCGGTCGCAAAAAAACTTAAGTACTTTAAAATTCTGTTTGAATAAAAGCTGATATGTCATTGTGTGAATTCTTTACGCTTTACCATCCATGCAAACAGAAACCTCTTATCAGTAGGTTAGTGTTTCCTTTCACTAAAGCACATAAAGCTTAATTGTTTAATAACGGGTGGTAGCTATTTGTAGTTGCATGCATTAAGGAGATGGAGGTTCTCTTATGTTTTCTTTCCCAGCATCATGGATGTAGCACTTTAGTGAGGCGGGACTGAATAATTGAAAGCTGTTTTTATCTGTGGCTGTGCAGCTTCCCACATAGGTCTCTAATTATCATGTCACCCAGAGATAATTCAGAAGACAAGATCTTTCACACACAGACACAGGCACACACACACACACACACACACACACACACACACAACTTGCTTAATCAATATGTGTCTGAAGGTGAAATCTACACAATATCAGGTAGTCTTTATATGTGCTGTTCACATAGATTACCATGTTAAAATGCATGCCGGTTGTTTGTGTGAGATGTATTCAATAAGACTCAATGAGAGGTAGGGAAAGAAAGAAATGTGTGTGTGTGTGTGTGTGTGTGTGTGTGTGTGTGTGTGTGTGTGTGTGTGTGTGTGTGTGTGTGTGTGTGTGTGTGTGTGTGTGTGTGTGTGTGTGTGTGTATGCAAGTGTGCATGCTTTGAAATGTCTTGGACAGTGAGTGCTGTGTGAGTGATTCAGCAACCTTGAGGAATAAAGTGCCTAAACCAAGCTTTGTGCATGATCAAAAGGCACGCATGAATTATAGACCTCCAGAGGGAGCATGAGTCCCGTCGATGATGTCGGCCTATATTGAGATTTTAAATGTGATGTATGGGTATGAGAAAGGCCTGGATTTTGACAGTTAAGTAATGAGCCTAACCACCAGTATCTGTCTGTGTGTCCTCTTTTGCTTTGACTTTCTTGGCCGAGAGAGAAAGAGCGAGAGAGAGAGGCTGCACGCATATTCATCGACTAGGGCAGAGATTACAATCATATTCTGTTGCTGCACAGAAGCACACATACTTTCTTCATCAATGTAAGGACGGGAATTTGCAGCAAATTGGCTTCAGTATTTAAGCAGAGCACATGATCTGTAGTGTTAGGTCATAACTATCCATGTTACACTTTTGATTGCAGAGTGTCCTTTATTCAATTAGCATTAAAATAAATGAGTTTTAATCTACTCGTGTAATTTCTGTAATCCAAATCCTGACAAAACATATTGTAACACAGAAAACAAAATATTACAACATAAGCTTAACATGTACTTTCTGGAGGACAAACATAAGCTAGCTTTGGGGGCCTAAGTGTTTTTTCTGAAAGTTTTGCATGGTTTCCATTACAACTGGTATAGATAATGCCTCCCCTCACTATGTTAAACATTTTGTTGATTTCTTTACACAAAGCCCCTGTGAGGACTTTTTATCTGGCTATGAAACAGACAGAAATTCATATTGATGTCTCTATATGACCCACAAACAAGCAAACAAAACCACCAGTGACACATTTGATTGTTTGATAATTCCTACATTTTATTAATGAATGCCTGAAACAGCTGCCGCAGGGCATGGTGTCAAACAAAGAGCTTGACAGCATGCTGCAGGCATGGCCTTTTGACATTTTCAACATCAACGATTTATGCCTTTATCATTTTAGAGATAAGACAATGGCTAGAGTCAGAAATCTGAGAGAAAGAGAAAGGGGATGATTACATGCAGGAAAGGTGCCACAGGTGGGATTTGAATCCGGGCCGCTTTGAGAACTATGGCCTCTGTACATGGGGTGCAAGCACTAACCACTACTAGGCCACCAGGGTGCCCACCAGCAACAATTTTTCCATGAGTGATACAATTGACTGTTAAACGAAAGCAGGGCGACAATTTTTTAAAGTTCATCACAGGAGCTTTAAAGAACATGCAAGAATAAAACTCCCTCAAGCTACAGTTATGCTCTCTGATTAGTGCTACTGTGTTACTGTTAGCATGCTGATATTAGCTAACTAAGACTGAAAATAGGTAATATAGTGAGTTAACTAACTGTGAGTTAATAGGATGCTAGCTTTGTCATGTGGAATTGTTGCAATGCTAGAACTAGCATTTAACTTATACCATGGTTCTGTCTATGTCTAGTCTCACAAAGAAGTTAGCATGGATTCAAACCCTTTCTAGATTATCTAAAGAGTAATTAGCTTTCACTAAAGCCCATTAAGCTGCGTGTCTGTGGCTGTGTATCCACCTACTTGTGTTTTCAAAAAAAAAGTTAGCATGGCTGTAAACTCTTTTTAGACTATCTAAAAATAATTAGCATTTAGCTTAGATCGTGACTTTGTCTACTAGTCGCATGAAGCAGTTAGCGTGCCGGTAAATGTCTAGAATGAAATGGCCCATTCCATAGGCTACAGGACAATTTTACTTGTAGAAAATATCTTAGTTCTACCTCTATACCCCTATCTATATATATATATATATATATATATATATATATAAAAAGCTGTATCACGTGTGTAGATAAATCTTCTATCATTCTATCAAGAGATTACTCAAAGTGATCAAGCTCAGAGAGATGAATCTGTCTTAAAAGTGTTATTCCACACAATCACTGGGCATGAAAGAAACTGGTTGTACAGAGAGAAAAGACGTGCAGTGAGTTCTAAGAGATTCCACCGAGTCATACAAATGCAAAGCCATTACAGTGCCACTCCCAGTGCGATCGATATTAGAAATACTGCGATATCACTCTGCCAGTAGCACTCCAGCCTTCCAGATCCAAGACTCTGGTGTAATCTTAGACTGGTTTTCAATGTAAAGGCGTGCTGCCCATCGCTCAATCAAAGTGAAGTATTGATCCCTCTGCTTCAAGTAAACATAATAGACAGGGCCCAGATCTTCAGAGATTATTATGTATATGACAAATATGTTTAATGTGCACCTATTTCAGCGGCTCGGTTTTCCTCTGCCTTTCAGATTTATCCAAGAATCGCCTGACAGAAATCCCTCCTGAGGTGTGTCTGTTCGCCCCCCTGGAGTCGCTCAACCTCTACCACAACTGCATCAAGTGCATCCCAGAAGCCATTATCAACCTGCAGATTCTGACTTATCTTGACATCAGGTGGGCCATTGCTAAAACTCTACTTTCAGTTTGCTTCCCGCTGTGTCTCGTGGGCTTAGTAGGCTCAGTCTTAAGAGGAGCTTGTTCCGTTTCCTCTTCACTGACAGGTCAAAGATGCATACATAAAAGAGAGGCAGTTCCTCAATTCCCAGTCACCGATACTCCCTGTAACATGCTTCTGTTTACTATTTGAAATTTAGGTCAGTGTTTTTTCTCTCTCTGCAGCCGAAATCTCTTGTCAGTTCTGCCAAAATACTTGTTCAGCCTCCCCCTCAAAGTCCTGCTTGTGAGCAACAACAAGCTGGTGTCCATCCCTGAGGAGATTGGGAAGGCCAAAGAGTTGATGGAGCTGGTGAGAAGTCTGTGTTTGTTAGTGCACATCAACTTGTGCATACCATACTGCCTTTTTTAATCTTATTCCTTGCACTTTGTCTCCCCTTGCAGGACGTGAGCTGTAATGAGATCCAGGTGCTGCCGGCTCAGGTCGGGAGGCTGCACGCCTTACGAGAACTCAATATCAGGAAGAACTGTCTCCACATGTTGCCTGAGGGTCAGATCAGCACTCTAGACACTTTGTTTGTCTGTGTTTCTCTCTGAAACATCCAATGATTGATTTGTTTCACTTTTTGGCAAGTGAACCAGTTCTCAACACCCAAGAATAACACCTAAGCAGTGTTTGTCTTGTGTTGGCTGTCATGTTACCCTGGGTGAAGCTGAAATTACCCTGAATAGATTAGAAAATATATGAAAGTTAAAAGTTTTAAGCACAGTAGATGTTTTCTCCCTTTCTTTGCACGCATTTGAATTTCAATTAATCTAGTCAAAAACATAATATAACCACTCCCTTACATTGGAGAAGGCAGTTTGGAGACCAACAATGTTTGATGATTGATTTGCATACATCTCAAATGTTTTGCAAAATGAGTTGCATCATGGGAACTGTGGTATTTAGCGTGGATGACACCAACAGTAAGGATATATCAGCTTCTTCTTCAGTTCTGTTCAAATTCCTCAACTTAGTAGAAGTGCAGATGTTTATGAAACTAATATTACCGCCTAAAGAAGAGCGGCCCAAAGATTGCACCATGTGGACTTGGCTCAGTGTTGAGGGTGGTGTACTAAACTGACAGGGTGTGACCTACAAGAATAACAAAGTGTAGATTTTTTTCTCTTTCATTTGCATGTTGGAAGCGTTGCATTAAATTCAACAAAAGCTTTTTTTTTCCGTCTGTACTTGCAGAGTTGGCTGATCTGCCTCTCATCCGACTCGACTTCTCCTGCAATAAGATCACAGAGATTCCTGCAGCGTACAGAAAACTCAGGCAGCTGCAGCACATCATCCTCGACAACAATCCTATGCAGTCTCCACCCGCTCAGGTACATCCATTGTGTAATTCTGTTCCTCTCAACCATGTGGACGTAAAGCACTTATGGTTTCTATGTGTTTTGCTTTTATTAGTCACGCGGACACACCCCTCACTCATGCCATGTTCCTCGTGCAGTTGCACCATCTAGTGGATAAATGAACATTGTCCTCTGTAGTGGTCAAAACAACACAAACCTAAGAGAAACTTACAGTGCATTTGTATTTTTTCAGATTTGTCTGAAGGGCAAAGTGCACATATTCAAGTACCTGAACATCCAGGCGTGTAGGATGGACAAGAAGCCGGACACCCTGGACCTTCCCTCCCTTGGCAAGCGTTGCCTTCCACAGCCACTGACAGATAGGTACAAAAACATTCATTGTTACTGTTTAATCCTGATATGAAACATAATGCACCTACATTTAAATATGTCATTTACACATACACATGCTCCTTTCATTCTAACTCATGCATAATGTGATGAACATATGTTATAGCTTTACAGATTTGATTGGATCATTTACCTGTTAGCCCTACTGAAAAACTTGTTTTAATTTTTTTCTAGCATGGAAGATTTTTATCCCAGTAAGAACCACGGGCCTGACTCTGGAATTGGTAGTGACAATGGCGACAAGAGGCTGTCTACGACTGAGGTCAGATTTCAAACACTCAAGAGATAACGGTCAATGCCTGTGAGAGTTGTTATGTTGTGAACTACTTACAACATGGTCAATATCAAAATAATGGAAACACTCCCGGGTTGATTTAAAAGCCCTCACAAGCAGACTCTCTTAAAAAAAAAAAGAGTCAGGCTGCAGACATAATCCTTACAAACTGTCATAGAAGAGTAGACATCAAACAAAACCAAGAACAAAGCAGGCAAGCCCAAAAAAAAAGAATCACAAGAAAATTTGGACATAAAGGCATGAAGATGTCATTTAATTATGTTGGCATTCGAACAGATCTGGGGAGCTGCGACCTTTGCTTTATTTATCCCATAAGTCAAATTATTCAAAAATAAAAAACTATGAGGAGATGTTGAAATACAACATAATGCCTGAATAGGTATAACAACCACTCATTGAGTTCACTTGAGTTCAGAGTGTGGTTGTCCCTCGAGGGGAAATTTGATTTAGAGCAGTAGGTTGAAACAACATATCAAAGAGAAAGGACACCGAACACATCCTGATTGAACACAACCAAGAAAAGAGAATGTAATGGTAGCAGTGATAAATAAAGTGCTATAGTGCAGTCCAGGTTTAAAGCTGATGATGTGCATTAATTGCACTAGGATGACATGAAAATGTAGATCTATTGCTCTGTGTTATGGGCAACTTTTACCTCCGACCAGAAGGGGGAAGAACAAAAAGAGGATGGTCAGAGCTGGCCAAGATTGACTTTGCTTTCCTTATAATTTGGAAAGCTGCTGAGTGCCAACAATTACTTTACTGGCTGCTTTAATAATACTGGATGGACATGTTTTATGGTGCACTTGAGATAAAACAAAAGTTTAAAGTTGACTCAATAAAAGATCTGTGGAATAAAACCATCATTCTCTTGTCCACATCAAAAGTATTCAGTTTCTGTAGGCCCCCTTTTTTAGCAGATTGCAGTTGTGTTCTGGTCATGATTCAGGTTCTTGTCACTGATAGTAGAATTTCTGGCAAGAATTGAATTCTAATTGATTTGTTAGTGGGAAGCTGCCAGGAGGGTAAGCAGAAGGAACTGACAGATTTGGGAAACTCTCTGAGGGGGATTGTGGATCGATGAAGAAAGACAGGAGAGATTGTCCTGGAAGCCAACAACTTTAAAAAAAAACAAAAAAACATAGGTGTAGGGGTCCAACTCTGCCTGAAACACAAGCAGCATCTTGTTGCTTCTGCTTAGCCAAAACATGGCATCAGGGGAAAATTATATTGAATAATTCTAGTAACAGCAGAATAATAGTTTAACCAGACTAATAACACGCTGATTTGTTCCAAAAAATCTTGTCCTGGCTAGCAGCTAGATGATCGAGCTGTAACTCTGAAACTGAGTAATGATAACGAGAAATGGAAAGGAAAATAGCAGTGAGTAATATGTTTAGTTCCCAAAGTGAGAAAGGCGGTTTGAACAGATTAAGTAGAGGCAAATTCTGCAGCTCTACCATTCTTGTTAAAATGGGTAATGGTGAATTAAAGTTAGAGTACTGACATGAAACTCATTTGAACCACTCTTTGTTCTTCTTCTCCCCACTACAGCCTTCAGACGATGACACAGTCAGCCTGCACTCCCAGGTTTCAGAGACAGCCCGTGCTGACGCCCTCTCGCTCCTCTGCAAAATGGATTCTTGCAAAGGTTACCGAAAATAAGTATCACATATATCCCTATGACAGCAATAAGAGAGACACGGGGGTTGGTTGAATGAAGTGCCTAACATGTGCGAGTTTATGTGATGAACGCGGATGCTTCCTCCCTCTATCAGATCAGGATCTCTATGACTTTATAGAGCCCAACCCGGACGAGGATCCTGCTCTGTCAGAGTGTGATGGGCAGCAGAGCACTCATGTGTCTTGTATAAAGGTATGGATCGATCTGTTTATCCAATATGGATGGTCGTAAACGTACATAATTCCCCAGGAGATGAATCAGTAAATGCTTGCTGGTCCCACATGGTGTGTGTGTGTGTGTGTGTGTGTTTGTGTGTTTCAGGAGCTGGAAAAAGTTCTTAACATGTCTCACCAAAGCAAAGATAAAGACAGCTGGAAAGAGGAGTCTGGGTGAGTTTCTGACTCATTACTGCAGTCAGATAAACAACTTATCATCTGGTACTTTTAATATTTCCATTAATACATTCTTTTTTGCTGAGGTCGCAACAACGAACTGTGGAATAGAGGAGTTTGTCGATGACATGTTTGTCAGTGATGAGTCACTGGGCTGCAAAACAGTAACGGCCGAGTCAGTTGGTAGTCAAGCAGCTGCACAATTTTACAATTAAAAAAAAAATGAACATGCTCGGAGCTGACTGAAGCTGCTGTTTTGCAAAGTTAGGGCACATTTATACATTTTGTGACATCAAAATTGAGAAATGATTCTGTGCTTTACATCCTCCATTATATCAGAGAACGTTTTGCTTTAGGAAGCACGCATTTTTGTTCAACCTTTGTGAATTTTGAAAAAACCAAAGTCGCAAAATCAACCAATGGCAAAAAAAAGTGTTTGATCGACTTCCATCGACGCCATCGATGGCTCCACAGTGCTCCCTTCCCCTCACATCCGTAACCTTGGTGTCATCTTTGACCAAACCCTCTCCTTCGACAAACACATCAAAAACATCACCAAAACTGACTTTTTCCATCTTTGAAACATCGTCCGCCTGCGCCCATCCCTCTCATTTTCAGCTGCCAAGACCCTCACCCACTCATCCATCACCTCCAGACTAGACTACTGCAACAGCCTCCTCTACGGTTCACCATCAAATACACTCAAGAAAACTTCAATACATTCAGAACTCCGCTGCTCGCCTCCTCACACCAGAGACCACATCACCCCCGTCCTTCATAACCTCCACTGGCTCCCCATCCCCCCAGCGTATCAACTTCATCCTCACCTAAAAAGCCCTACACGACCATAAAATTTATTTAGATAATGCTAATTCATTACAAAAGTTATCAAAAGAACCAAGAGAAAAGGGTTAGACTGTACTAGTTTTTAGATGATTTACAGAGACTCAGTGTTAAGTTCTGATATCTTCACGTTTTTTCATGGCCAACTGTTTTATTCAGTAACTCATATGTCCGACTGTGTGCAGTTCCTGTCGGATTGACTTGAGTGTGATCTTTTTTCTCAGTTCCGATAAGGAGCAGCTAGTTGAGGAAGAGGATGATGAGCTGAAGGAGGTTCTGGATCTGAGGAAGATTGCAGTTCAGCTTCTGCAGCAGGAGCAGCAGAACAGGTGTGTGAGAAAGCCGTCGGGTACTTTCTGTATCTTCTTCACTCCCTCACCATGTTACTTGTTTGATCATATATGCGTCTCGCATTGGTAACAGCTAAGATGGGAGAGTGTTTCCAGGAATTGGATGTTTTTATTTCCTTTTTTTTTTGGTTGATTTCACAGACTGAAACTGCTGGAGTGAACGACACAAACCCCTACTTACATTTTGGTCTTGTCTTGTTCCCTCCTTTCCCCTCTCGCCTCTGTGGCTTCCCGTTTGGGTGTTCTGCCTCTAGACGACGGTCCTTAATATGCAGAGCGGAGAGCCTCATCCACCGACGCAGAGTCACCGGCCGAGCACACAGGTAGATGGATTTTATTACTCGTAATTTACAGACAGCTTACAGTTCACAAAGGTTCAGACAGACTAACACAACACGCCTCTGGAGGTTTTCTGTATCCTGCTCAATGTTACGATAAACACTGAATGCTGTGAAAAACATTCCTTCTCATAATCTATGGGTTTTTGTCCTGTATGAACATGCATGATGGAATCTAAATGTTACTCACTGCTGTTGTGAATGACGATGAGTCATCACCGTGGTAGAAGTCAGTTTTTTACTATACAGGTGTGACAGCACTCGCATCCTTTTCTTCCTACAGGTTCTTGAGTCACTCTGGGAGCTCCAGCAGCAAACCCAGGCCCCCGCCTCAAGCCGCTCGAAGGTATCTTCTCACTGAACATCACACTGGTTGTGATTTTCTAGCCCCATGATGCATTTCTGCTGAATTAATGGCGTAAAGAGATAACTGTTTCAGTGTACAGTAAAGGAATAGTAATAATAGAATTAGGGAACAAACCTTAATGCACGCTCTGTATAACACTTACAATGACTTAATAGTCACAGTATCACCATGGAGACCTAAAAACAAACTCTGACACATTTTGGTATCAAGCCATCTTCAGGGAGTCAAACATATGACTCATAATACATTCCTTAGACTTTCTTTGTTGTCATTCAAACTTGTACTTTACAGTGCAGGTAAGAACGAAATTTCGTTGCATTTGGCTCGTTGTAGTGCAGGATAAAAACAGCAGCATGTATTTACATATAAAAAATAAAAATAAGGTGCAGATATAAATAGATATAAAAAGAAAAACTATGAGTAAAAATACTATACAGATAAATATATTGCACGTTATATTGTGTTTTACAGTCCAGTGAGGTAGTCCTGTGTGGGGGTTTGAGGGGGAATGGAGGGATTATTTTTTCCTGTTCAAAAGTCTTATGGCCTAAGACTCCTGTTCAAAAGTCTTATGGCCATTATTCATTATTGAACATTAAGTCATTTATTTATTTGCTGTTATTTTGTCTCAGGAAAATACTTAAAGGGGACATATTGTAAAAAAATCCACTTGTGTAGTGTTTTTGAGCATATATTTGTGTAACCTGAGTGTCTACCGACTCCCAAATTGTGAAATAAACCCATCCAGTCCTTTGTTTGTGGTCTGCATAAGTCTTACAACACAGAGAAAAATGCTCCGTTTCAAATTTGCTCTCCTTGTGATATCACAGTGGGATTCTGGTAAAAGAAATACCCTCCCCTCTCCTGGTATCGCCACCCATGGACTCCACCCCCAGCCTAGAGCAAACCTTTTCGCAGGTCCGCCATTTTTATTCTCGCTAGCGAAGGAGTGATGTGTACTGGGAAAACCCAGGTGGGGCTCATTGCATTTAAAGAGACACACACACCAAAACGGAGCGTTCTGAGAGAGCTGGTTTATACAGGGTCACAAACCTCCTCTGGTGCTTGATTCAGGTTATATTTTGACCAAAGCACAGCACAGATGTTTCATTTAGACCACAGGGGACTGTTTGAAAAGGTGGACAAGTGGTGTAATATGTCCTCTTTAAGGATTAACTTTGCTATCTTTAATGTTAGCGTATGCATACATATATAGATCAGCAGGTAGATATGATGGGTGGGCACTTGGGAAGGTGACTTTTTATTTTACCAGGATGCCAAAAAAAAACATGACGACACCAATGTTAAAAAAAAAATCTGTTGAATGCATACATAAAAAAACTTGTTGTTTTTTTTATCTGGACATTGACGTTTATTTGATCCCGTGTGCGATCCACTCTCCCCGTGCCACAGTGCTCGGTTTGATTTTGAATTTTTTTTGTTTTGTTAGTTGAGAAGAGAGAATCAACACTTCAGTTTGACTCCCTGACTTGTGACTTGTGACTCTATGTGTCCCAATTCTAGAGGAGTCTGAGGGGCGCTCCTTTATTTGCATTACAAAAAATAAAATCTTTTGCATTCTTATGTTCCAATTGAAACCAAACATGCTGTGTGTTTGGGGTTACATTTGAACCTGAAAGTGGTCCCCGAAAGAGACATTGGGGTGCATGCATTATGTCCTAGCATTATGTGAATGTTGTCTCAAAGATTGTTTTAATGTGATAACACCTACATCTTTCTCCTAGTGCTTCTCTGGATGAAGGAAGTAGTGGCGCATCAGTGCTGAGCGGACAGGTACAAGCACAGCCAATTCGGCGTAAACATGTCCTGAGCGATATTGTACCTGTATCTGTATCTGCCAGTTACTCTTCTTATGTTTACCCCTGTGGCTCTTCATCTGAATTTAAACTTTCTGCTTTCACAGCCCTCGTCTTCCTGCTCCTTCGATGGCAGCCTGAAAACAGATCTCTCAGATTCAGAACCAAAGTGGCCTGAAGTCCCACCTGTCCTCAATCAGAACGAAGACCGCAGGAGGAACAAGTACCTGAGGAAAGACTATCTCAAGGTGTGCACAGACCTCTCAGTAACCTCAGCTGTCTTATTTGTGGATATTCTGTAGCACACACGTCAAAAATTGCCTGAGGATAAAGTCTCACCCTGTGATAAAGACTTTAATTACTGTTGCTAGCAGTGTGTGGAACAGACTTTTGTGTGGTGCTTTAATAACTGTATGATTCAATTCTTTATTGAATCAATCGTCAGACCTCACTGTGGCCTCATTGTACGGGGTAGACTTCTTTGTGTGCGTGATCGTAGAGACGGTTTGTTTTGACTGCAGACTAACTGGGACGCTGTGTCTGAAAATACATGCTGTTGTTCAGGTCATTCAATCTTTTGGGAATCACATATTCCATCACCTCTCTCTCTATTGGGGTCCAAAGTTTCTAAAGTATGTAGCTTACAATCTGGGCCACTTCTATCTTCATTGCTAGACACTATTAATGTGGGATATGAAAGATGATATGAAGTTATAATAAGAACTGAAGCAGAAAAAAAACCATCCTGTTTGTTTCTACCTTCCCCTCAGTACAAGTGTCAGAGTGCTCGGAAAAACTCGAACGATGACTGCGAGGTGAGTTTTAAAAAAAACATCCTGATGAGTATCCCATCTTATCACCTCTGAACATCCTCAAGTTTTCGACAATGCCTCTCAATGTTATGGGTGTTTTTTGTTTTTTTCCCCAGGAGGGATTGCGCAGCAGTGATTTCAGCACCACTCTGACAGTGTTTGGACTCAAGCCTAGATCAGGTAAAACAAAGACAAAGGCTTTATCGCTTCTTATTTGGCTCAGAGTTTGGAAATAAACAACAGGGGACCAGCTTTCCTCCGTTTGATAGGGGAGTGGTCTCTGAAGCAGTTACAGGCACCCTCATGTGGGAGAGGTCAGGGTGGAACGGTAAGAAAAAGAGTGGAAATGGGGCGTACCAAACAGAGGTAAGATGGTCCACTGTTGTTTTTTTCCTGAGATTTGTCCCTTCTACACCTACCCGCACCTTGTATTGCCCAACATTACCCGAGACACAGTGAGCACGCCAGCTCTGACTTATAATTTCATTGAAATGTTTGTCGTGCGGTATCAGGCGTGCATGTACAGGAGGAAATTCAAGTCAAGCGTGACACAGTCCATGTGCATTTGAATGACCTCTTCCAAAGAAAATACTAAAATAGATACTGAAAGACTTTATACTGTTGATCCAGATGATTAAAGGGTTTTCTTATGTAGATGTACAATTACTGCATTTTCTTTATCACTTGTGGCAATATATTCTTCAGGCAGTGCTGAACTGCTTGCATAGCATCAGTGTCCAGGCTATCCAAATGGTTTGGTTAGTGGTTTGGCCTAGTGGTTATAGCGTGCCCCATGTGTGGAGGCTGTAGTCCTTCAAGCAGGCAGCCGATTTCAAACTCTGTCCACTGTCCTGTCTCTACAATAAAAGCATTACATTACAAAAAAACAGAAAAAACAACGATCACTTAAATAGAATAAGGTGAAAGTTAAAACTTGTTGCTGAGGAATAGATTGTCTAGTTGAGTCTATATATCATGGATTTGGCTTCTGTTCAAAATAAATTCAAATGAAGCTCCTTAATCGCTGAGCCAGTGCTCCACTTTCACCTTAGGCTCATATTAACTATAATGTGAACACTTTTCCCTTTTGCTGAAGCCAAAAATTATTTTAGGAGTGTCCTGGCAGCCTTTCTCTAGAAGTGGGGAAGGTTTCTTAGGAACTGTTGATCTGTTTTGAATCAGTGCATCAGCAATTGAGGACATGGAACAACAGGACTGAAGGCTCTTTGTCTTTCCCGCATGACCTTAAGTTGGGTGCGCTGCTGTAAGAAATCATGCAAATGTGTCTGTATTGTAATTGATTTTCTGTGTTTTCTTGAGAGCCACAGAAAGAGGAGGTATTTTTATTTTTTATTTTTGATGTATTTAGCACACATAAGACTACACCAAATAGGATTAACAAAAATATAAAAGGTGTGTCAGGAGGATTTCGATTTTTTTTAAAGGTTTAAATACTAAGACCAATCTAAGAAAACTCAAAAGTAAATACTTACTTGTATGTCCTTCATACATTAAATTTAATATATGTTATTTTTATTTTTTTTACAAAATGCAAATGGGTACTGAGATCCAGCCTTCCTCAGTTTAACTGTAGAGTTTTGTGTATTTTCAGCTCTTGGAGCAAAAACAAATACAGAATGGCTCGGGAAAACTCCCACATTTAGTAAATAGCTAATGAACTTTAACCCCAGTTAGCGCCCAGCTGTCTTGATATTAAAGTGTTGTCTTGTCAGGCGAACAAGTGGCGTGTTTCTATCTGAAGGGCGCAAAAGTCAACGACCTTTAGACCATCTAAGCCTGATCTAACGTCTTCAGTCTTTTCCAGTGTGCGTACTGTGTGATACAAACAGAAACACATGCAGAAGCAAACATGCAACAGAAGAGTTGGATTTATAATAATTCTTATAACGAGTGCCATCGACAGTCCAGTGTCCCTTATACACATGTAAGAGAATATAGCCAAAGATACAAGCTGAGAAAACGAGTAAATACATGTTTATATCCTAATTGTGTCTGATTTTGCGCCCACATATCATTAGTTAACATGAGAAACTGTCCGGTACGGTTGGCATGTCAGGAGATTTAAATAAGGAAATGCTTTAGTTCCTTAATGCTGGAATATTCTTCACTTCTTTCTAAATTAGGGAAAACACGGATCAATACCAAATGCTTCAGGGAAATATGACTTGAATACAAAGTCCATCAGATTGGCAATTATCAGTGACCTGTGTGTATTCTGTTTGTTCAGGGCCACAATGGCAGGAAAGAAGTCAAATGTGCCGGCAATAGTTCGGTCTGTCTTGGAAAAAAGAATGAAATCCGATGTGTAAAAATGCAACACACCAGCATGAAGGCCTATCTGGCTTTAAGAGGGAATGAGAGCTGGCACTTTGGTTTGATTTATGTTACACCCCCAAAACACACTTACAGTAGTACAATCAAGCAACTTAATCCAACTTCTTTACGCGCTGTGCCCAGATTGTGCGTTGCGTAATTAGCTTCATAAAGTCGACACGCCTCAAATCACTTTGCGCTAAACTTTCTAGATGACGTGTTTTGGAACATCACAAAGAGGCCCTTTATGAATTGGGCCGATATTATTGGCTGGCTGATTAATCTGTCAGGCTTTAACAGAAAGTACATTTCTGTAAAATCTTGATATGGTGTCACACAACAGGCTGAGTTTAGTCTCAGAGTTAAATGAGGTGCAGAAAGAAATGAAAGTGTTCATTAAGACTTGTGGGAAATTCTTTTCCGTCCTATCTTTGAGTATATCACGGCAGAATTATGGTTCATATCTCAACACATTTCTCGGATATAAAGATATTTTTCTTTTGAAGCAAGATTCATTACAAAGATTAATCCTTCTTGGACACCATCAGACATAGGACTTTGATTCTTGGCTGTTCAGAGTATATTTCATTTGGCAGACTACCCAGGATAAAACCAATGAAATGAGCAGATGGGCCCCTAGGCTGGCCTGAAAATGACCTGAGGGGGCTTGTGTTTTCTTGTATGTCTTGCTTTACAGTATAGAACGTAATAGATGTTTTGACTGTTTAAAAAAAAAAGGAATCTCCCTGTGTGTTACCTGGAACTGAGATCTGTGCTCTTCACATGTATTTTTCAGCCTTTACCAGAGGAAGCCGGCAGGAGTACACGTCCACAGACCCCAGTTTCACTATGAGGAGGAAGATGGAGCACTTGAGAGAGGAAATGGAGCAGATTGGATTGTTACGACAGGTCAGAAGCCTCACAGCCTGTTTTTTTTTTACTCTTCACAAAGAAATGAGTCACACAGAGGATGAAGCTCTGCCAGATCCTGCTCCTGTTTAAGTGTTTTTACCTAACAGGGAATAAGTAACATCTAAATCATATGTCCAGAATAGTCGTTTCGTAACTTGCCTCTAAGAAGAAGACTCATACCGTAAAGATAAGTGGCAGTAGTTGTCAGTGTTGGGATTCACTCTAAATACAGTTGTAAAATATTTTATGTGATACTAAACTACATTCAGTCAAGAGATGCTACATTGAAAGTATTTGGTTTCATTGTTGTTATATGTAGCGCTGACAGAAATATGTACGTCAAATAAATAGAGGACATTTTTACAGTGTTGCGTGAGAAGTCAGGTGCCAATAAGAAGTTCAAATGCCACTTTAATGAGTCTTATTCAGAATGTCTCTGGTTTCAAAATTGCAATGTTTAAGAATATTTGGATATCTTAAGTCTGACTGAGAATGTTGTATTTTCGTACAACAGATGCCTCGTAAAAAAAACACTTGAAAAGCAGATTTTTGGAAGTATTCAGTTTGTAGGGACTTGGGTTGGGAGCCGGAGGGTCGCCAGTTCAAGTCCCGGTGCAGACAAAACTGTGTATGTTGGTCTGGTAGCTGGAGGGGTGAAAGGTCACTTCCACGAGCACTGGCGAGGTGCCCTTGAGCAAGGCTCCAGCAGCCCCAACAGCTCTGGTGCGCTCCCTGTGAAGCAGTGTGTAGCAGCTCCACTTTGACATCTCTCCACTTGTCATGTTCACACCTCATCATTTCTGTGGAATGATGGGGTGCTATCTTAAACCAACCAGTTGGAGCATTCAGGCGGATGCTGGGGTGTTGGTGGGGCTGAGCGACAGTACTGTACTGGTGCAGGTCAGGGCTGGCAATGAAAGAGTATAGGAGTGAGATTAGGATGCTTGACTGATCGTGTATAACAGTTTGTTATGAACGGTACGTCTTCAATTTCAAAGAAGAAGGATAAAGAAATCATGAAGTGGATGCGGAATTGCCAACATTGTTTGTGACGCTGTGTGGCCTGTTGTTGCCTTCCAGAATAGCTGGTATCCTGCAGGTCAAGACCGTACAGGACATTTCAAAATGCCTGACTACCAAAGATGAGATAACAGACAGGCGGAATAGAGAGCAAGGTAGGACATAAAGAGGGACTGTTTTAAAGTCTAGCAGCAACAATAGCAGGCAAAGAAAGGCAAGGCTGTTAAGATATCACATCAGTGTGACACGCCGCAAATGATGAAACTAATCACATTCAAGGTCACTTTACATAGCAACCTCTGCCATCAGTTTGTGAATTTGTAGGTGTGGTCGGTGGTGTAAAAGCACTTTGAGTAGTCAGAAGACTAGAAAAGCGTGTTACAAGCTCAAGTCCATTTACCATGACTTTGCTCAGAGGCTCCATGTGTACCAGTAAAAGTATTTTTCTTGTTTAGAGTTTGCATGGATTTACATTTAAATCTTGCAACACCTGCTATGAGAAATGATATCGTGTATAATATGACGCCCAGCCCCCCACCATCGGACTGTCTCGTCGCCTCAACCACCGCCATACACGGCCTGCTCCGACCTCCACCTCAGCGTCAAGGAAGTGTGGACAAAAGAAACGCCAGGAATACAAAGGAGAAATCCTTCCTGCATATTATCCCATGTGCTCTTTTGTAAAGCGTCTCGAAATAACACTTGTTATGAGTTGGCGCTATACAAATAATGAATGATTGATTGATCAACTGCTTTCATTCGATTGGCAAGAACCTGAAAGACGTTGCTAGACTTGTAGCTGAATTCACTCCTCCTGCTGAGCTGTAGAGAAAACTCACATTTAGAGAAACAACCTTTGATTTCCTTGTTCATGTTGCACATGAACATAACGGGACCTGTGTCGTCCCAAAATTTACTAAAAACCAATACATTCCTCGACTGCAAATAAACAAAAACCACTGCAGTGTGATTATTACAATCAACACAGTTTTTCTGCAAAAAGGAATATTTTGGATAATTTTGTTTTTTATTTTACTGATATCATAAGTGAGCAAGTAAGACGTCCGGATGGAGGCGTAGGTGAAAAGGATGTTCTGTCCGGCTTTGTTGCCAATTGTCTGCCAGTTTCCCCTCATACCACGCCCAACATGTCCTAAAAACCATCACCAAACTCCTCCGAGTTCCTGAGAAAAGGTACATGTCGAGGGTGGAAAAGGAGGACTGGTCTGAAACGAAGGGATTTGAGGCTAGCGACAAAAACTCAGCAGACCCAACACTTGGCGGCAACAGATGGCAACAGATGGCGGCACTGTGCTAGCTAGCAATGCTGACAAGACCAGACTTTGACAAGTGCAGATATTATGAAAGGTATCGAGTCCCTCAAACATGACTTCAATAAGAAGAATGATGGGCTACTGGCAGCTATCAAGGAAAATATGACAGAGTGCACTGGCCGCTTGAATTAAATTAGCAACTCTATTAGTATGTTTACTCAGCCAAAGTAACTAGCCACACATACTTTTTAAAATTTTTAATTTGACTTTTTTGTGTTACAAAGCCTTGCATTGGATGATAAAACTCCCAACTGCAAGCCAAAAATAGAAAATCTTCTGGCAAAACACTAGGCACTGTTTTACTTTGAAAATCCAAATGAGTGCATGTTATTTTATGTCATGTAAACAGGATAATGATTTGTCACTGTTTAAACAGTCCAGACTATTTCATATAACGGTCAACATGTGACTCATGCAGTGAAGTTCAGATCTGGACACTCTCCTCTGAAAATACCCCCCCCCCCCCAACTTTCTTTTTTCTAAGAGAACTCATTGTTAATGTCTTTGCAGAACATCGAGGCCCGACTGAAGGTGTTGCTCCCTGACGATGTCGGAGCTGCTCTTATGGACGGGGTCGTCCTTTGTCATTTAGCCAATCACATTTGTCCTCGGTCCGTCTCCAGCATCCATGTTCCGTCTCCTGCAGTGGTAAGCAAAGGGAAACCACAACAGTCTGATGTTTGAATTTTAAATTACAATACCATTGAGTTAAAAATATGACCCTGCTAAGCAATTTTTTAAAATAATAACAGTATGGTGTGTGTAATTAAAAGCTGGGGGGAAGCTTTGTTTTGTTTTTTCTGCTTTTCACGACTAACATAATTGATATTTGGGCCCCCAGCCAAAGCTTAGCATGGCTAAATGTCGTAGGAATGTGGAGAACTTCCTGGATGCGTGTAAGAAGCTGGGTGTCACACAGGTAATCACACTGAAAAACAATTATTCTCATTCATGCATCACATGTATTTACCACACATCTACCACACTGTATTTACTTGTGATTCTGTGGTTTGCTGATATCAACTGTTGAGCTGCACTATTAATGAGTCTTCAAGTTCTCTCATGCACACTGGCTGGTCTGGTTTATACTTCCATTCAGCTGATGAGCCTCCTACTTATGGAAAATGTAGCAGTAGCTAATGGAGGAAGGACGGCTCAATCCAAAATTACAGACATGCAGAAAGGAGCAGACAATCACTCCAGCCAGACGACTAGAAAATATAAACTCATATTTGGCGTGGTTTCTGTCCAAACACAATGTTGCAGTACATGAGCCAAAGAAAGGCCACCATGTTTTTTTTTTTTTCTGATAGTTTTTTGGATATCTTATGTGAAATTGAGCCCCTATTAGAAAATGAAATGAATTGCATTAAAATATTTAAACATGATGCTATCTCAAAAGCTTTTGACTTGCTCTAATCTTGTAACCATCCATCCATCCATTATGTTTACCGCTTTTCCCCTTCGGGGTTGCCGGGGGGCTGGAGCCAATCCCAGCTGTCACTGGGCGTGAAGCTGGGTTACACCCTGGACTGTTCACCAGACAATCACACGGCAGACATATAGAGACAGACAACCAGCCACACTCACATTCACACCTACGGGGAATTTAGAGTCACCAGTTAACCTAACAAGCATGTCTTTGAAATGTGAGAGGAAGCCAGATTACCCAGAGAGAACCCACGCATGCACATGGAGAACATGCACACTCCACATGAAGAGGCCCTGTCCGACTGGGATTCAAACCAGGAACCTCCAGCGCTAACTACTGCACCACCACGCAGCCATCTTGTAAACATGCATCTAAAAAAAAAAACTAAAACATTTTGGTCTTCTAGTCTTTCCACTGAAATGATCTTTGTATGTTCAGGCTTCATTGTTGTTCCTCAGTGTCCTGGACGTCTGGCTTTGAACTTAATTTTAAAGCCCCTGTGAGGAACTCCTACTTTAGTTGATTTTTGCGCCCCCTCCACCACTGTTAAGCACGATTGTCCCCCTCCTCAGTCCCCCGCTGGCCTTCACTCACACTGCTCCAGGACTAACCGGGCCTGAGCACAGTTACCTCTTGTACACAACACCGTGACACAACACAGTGCAAATCAGTGTTTCAAAGGACGAAGCTGTGCCTGCAGTGCCTGATATGTCATCGATGTGAATAACCTTGACGTTTCCTGAGAACGTCTCAGAATTTCCCAATAAATTTGTTCTTACGTAACGTTGCTAGACAGACGCCTGAGAGGAGAAAACATCAAAACAAAGGTATCTGCACGCGTGGATTGCCCAAGTGAGAGATATGTTTTGTTTTGTTTGTTTTATTTTGGGTGAACTGATTTATTCCTTCCTTATGAATGTGCCTCAGTCTACCCTGAAGGGTTTCATTGTTTTTTTGAAAGTGTAGAAAAATGTGTTGCACTCTTCATTAAATGTTTATTGTTGAAAACTATAACACAGTTAGAGAATCTATGTGGACTACGACAGAGTATTAGGGCCACATGAAAGAAAAAACTAATCTAAAACTTTAAGATCAAAGTCGTACACATAGAGATTATAGTCATACATTTATGAGAATGAAGTTGTTGATTTGCGTATCTTAAATTCTTAAATCGATTAAAACTCGTATTGTATCAGAAGAGCAGTCCGTCTGCGTGAGCATGATGAAAGGAGAACCCTTAAAGACTTTTCCTCTGCCACTCAAGACAATTTTCTCGAGGTCTCTTCGGAAATTTTCATTTCATTTTCAACTTTACTCCCATAAAAATAAATTTATTTTTGGGCTTTTCACCTTTATTGGCAAGGACAGTGGATAGAGGAATCCAGAGAGAGAGAGAGAGAGAGAGAGAGAGAGGGGGGGGGGGGGAATGACGTGAGGAAAAAAAACACAGGCTGGATTTGGACCCGGACCGCTCCTTTGAGGATTATAGCCTCCCAGCATGGGGCGTGACCGAAACGTTAGGTCATTGGCGCACCTAATCTTGTAAATGTATGACTTTATAAAAAATCTCCTTAATGTGGCCCTAATGCTCTTCTCAACAATAGACTCAAACTAAAACAAAGAACTTGTGTTCTTTGAGAAAGCTAATCTCCTCTCTCCGCCTGAGCACTGAAGCCTCACAGACGTTGATGTCATCAGGTGTGCAGCACGAGTGTATGAGTCCGTCTGAGGGCTTGAGGTGGTATCAAAAAGAGAAATGGGACACACTGTCATGACATTGTCATGAACATTTGTTGACATTTAGAGGGGGGCGGGCACCCTTGAGGTCAGTTTGCAAGTTTGCAACTCTTCAGGGGCGCTGGTGGCGCAGTGGTTAGTGCTGTATGGAAACTGTAGTCTTCCAAGCGGACGGCCCATGTTCAAGTCCGACCTGTGGCTCCTTTCCTGCATGTCCTTCCCCACTCTCTCTCTCTCTCCCTGATTTCTGACTCTATCCACCACCTATCTCTCAAATGAAGGCACAAAAAGCCAAAAAAATAAACCTTTAAAAAGTCTGCAGAAATACAGACCAAAGAAAGTTTAATTTGGTGTTAAGAAAATCCAAATCAGAGCCGTCAAACGCTTGATTTGGGACTGTGGGACATCACTTAACACACAGGTCACAGGAACACCCCTGTGAGTGAGTGAGTGAGTGAGTGAGTAAGGAGATTGGGATATTTTTTGCGATGAGTGTAACCTATAAGAACTACATTGTGCCCTGCAGGACAAGCTGTGTCTGCCCCATCACATCCTGGAGGAGCGTGGTCTGGTGAAGGTCGGTGTGACGGTCCAGGCTCTGCTGGATCTTCCGTCATCGAAGCCCTCACAACTCTCAGCTGTTTGACAAAAAGCCTGAATGTTGCGCCTGACCTTTTGTCATCCAAATGAACCCTCTCCGCGGAGCAAATCCCCACGCCCCCCTCACCACCAGGGACCAGAGAGCCCCCTTTGGACGAGGACCCGGTGGACTGCTGGTTCTTCGGGTGTCTTCTTCTGCCTGACTGAAATAGGAGGCGTGAGGGAGAGAAACCTCTGTCTCTTCATATGATGTCAGCTGTCGCCATCTTCCCATGCGTCATATTTTCATTCGTATCTTGTTCCCCGTGACTGAACTCTTCCCCGTGTGTGCGTGGACTACTGACCTGACTGTGTGTTTTCTGCACAGTTTGCACACCCCTCTTTACATCAGCTCAGTGATTATTGAGCCTGCGAGTGCCAGTGCTGACAGTATTTCCATGCTGGTGTTGGAGATGTTGGCAGTGTGGAGATGACAGACATGTGACTCATTTTTTACTGTAGAGACCTCAGCTGCACGCTGACCTCAAGAACACAAACACCTGACTGTGACCTCAAGAGGGTCTTACACTCTTTGACCTTATCTTTCAGTTTAATTTTCCCCTGGGAGAAATCACTTTTGAATCAATTAATGTTTCAATTTTGTTCCAAGCAAGCTTTTCCAGTGAAAAGCATCATTTGATCTTTTTTTCAATCTTCAGTTGACTTTCTTCCCATTATCAGTGAAACGGATACATTTCCCACCTCTATCAAATACGACACAAACTTGTGTGAAGTGACGTTTAACCACTGTGACAACGTGCTCGGCTGTGGTCACACGTGCAAGGCTCATGTTGTGCAGCAGTTTCATTTTTTTTTTTCCCCTCTTTTTGAAAAGTTTCCCCGTCTTCTAACTTTTGTAAAAGCTTTTATACTTTCTCCAGTCAATGCCAATCATCACTGATCATGTTCAAGGAGTTAAGAGCACTGGTTCGCACATGTAAGACACACTGCGGCTTGGATTTGATGTCATGACCTCAAATGAAACACTTTTATACGCTTGTGTTTCTGAACTGCTGCTTAGAGACCTTCACTCCTGTCCAATTTTCACACATGAAAGAGCTTCTCTTACTGCCAGGCCACTGTGCTATACTCATGTTTCCGAAACGTTTGAATATTTCAGGGAAATGAACTTATTTATGTATTTATTCATTTTGTTTCATATTTATTATATGTTGATGCTTTGTGTGTCTTGCTGTTAGCATGCTACCGGTACACTTCCTGACTCAGAGCTGATCCTAAATCAACGCGGAGCTTTGACAGACGTCATGCTTCAATCTCAAACTGGTTGACACAGGTGCAACATGAGTACCACTAAGGTGGAAACAAAAATAACCATCATTCATCAGTAGAGCTGAGATTAGCTGGGTTGTTGAGGGGTAAATAAAGGAGGCTTAATTCTGCGGCAAACATTACACAAGAGTTGATCTTGTTCTCAAACGTTGACCTTAAGGTTATTTGACACACTGGCTTCAAGTGATCTGTCAGTATGAAAGATCTGTCATATCCTTATGGAGTTACACCCTTTTTATGTTTGAAGTTTTAAATCTGTGCTCATACAGTAGTTTGTTAATAATGGATTCTTACATGCAGCATAATAGATCTCTTTTTATTTGTCAGGATTTGCATTTTACTGTTGAATTCTTTGAAAATGACTCCATAAGGCAGCTGCAGTGCTCCAGACAATTTCCAATTTCAATTGTACATCTGAGAGGTCGGCTCTAAGCTCCTGTGAGGTGTTTTTTAAATGCTTGTGAAGACTGAATTTAAAACAGATGCCTCTGTATGACCTACTAAAGCAAACAAGACCATTAGCAGCAAGAGTGTTTATTAATGCCGGGAACTGCTGCCACGGGGTAGACATCAGATGAAGTGATTAACAGCAGGCTGAAGAAACAAACTGTTTTTTCATTTTTTCACGTGGCAAAGATTCTTCATGAGCGATGCATTTGACTTTAACAAGAAAGCAGGATGAGACGTTTTGTTAAAAAAAACACTACTAACAAAATCAACATCAATGTTTTTATAATACAACAGAGTGGAACTGAAAAATCACTTTTCAACTGCTTCAAGAACGTCACACTGCCAGTACAATGTTGTAACATTAATCAAACGTGCTTGTAGAATAGAATAATGTGTGAATGAAAAAAAGGGGATTTTCATGCTGGTTTGGACATTGGCATGTTGAAGATTGAACTTAAGACTTCAAGTTTAAAGAGCAGCTGAGGGCGTAACTGATCCCCATCACAGACAGATTAAAATGGCATTTAAGGTCCCATATTATGATTTTTCTGGTTTTATATGCTCTTTAGTGTGTTTTCCAAGTGTCCTGTGTATGTTTAGGCACATCTATGTACAAAAATTCAAAGTCCGCCGAAACGCGGCTTCTCCTACCTCCTCCTACCTCCTCCTGTTAGCTGTAGCATTAGCCACATGTAATGCTCAGTTCTAGCTGCCCTCCATAAAAATTTGTCAGTGTGACGTCTTGTCAGTGTGAGATCACTGATCTAAGCCCATTGGCTCGTTGTGGCAAGCCCAGCAGCTCATGTTGAAATTTCCGAGACGCGTGCTGAGCAACTGACCAATAACGACAGCACGTGGGGTCTAACAGTGTGGGCTCAGCAGAGTGTAGCTGACAGACTCAGAGCGTAGAGGGAGCAAGGAGGAGCAGTACATGAAAACAGACTCTTTTTTCAGACTTTAGCTATTGTGAACGTACAAAAGTAGGTACATAGATTAAATATACGAACCCCAAAAAGGGCCGCATCACGGCAGCTTCATTTGCAATATCGAAGTTAAAGCTCCTGTGAAGTATTTGTTTTGTGTTGATTTTGGCGCCCCCCTGTGTACAAAGCTTTTATCACATGCTTTCTTTAAACAGTCAAATGTATAAATCTTTGCCCAGGGCAGGGACTTGGTGTGACTCCTACCCCACAGCAACCACTCCAGGCATGAAAAGTAACTTTATAGATGTAATTAATCTTGTTGTTGATGGTCTCATTTACTTATATACTTTATATGGAGGTACACATATTCATTTCAGTCTGTTTCAAACACCAGCCAAAACCTCCTGGCAGGAGCCAAATGTATCAGAGCCTGGCTGAGCTCAGAGAAGATTAACAAGCCTTAACATAACCATTTAATGTGTGTGTGGTCTTGCCAAGATGACAAATGGTCAGTTATTACACCCAAGTCTTCATGAGGAGATAACAGCTTTTACTTTTTAGCGTTTACATTTTGGATAACAATAGGGGCTTTATAAGAATCAGATGGTAAACCAAATACAATGTCTTCTGTTCTACTGAAAAGCAAAGACTGCTCGAATGTTAGGGTATTATTTGAGTAGCTGCAACATCTTCCAGGACAGAAATACTGACTGATGTGACATAATGTGCCTTGAAGGATGACCATAATTATTTTTTCTGCAGTGTTACAAACGGTGAGATTCATCTTTTTAAAATTATTTTAAATACACTGGCTATAGATTTAGCATTTTCATTCCAACTGCTTCTTTTTGAGGATAACTTTTTCTTAACTGGCCATTGTTAAGCAACCACAGTCTGTTGAAAAGATAACCAAAATCTGGCTAAAAACTTGTGTGAGTCAGCTTTTCACTGTAACCACAACAGGTGTCAGTAGCATTGATATTCTATATTCATTACTTTTCCTGAGAACCTCTGTCTTTCCCCGGGGCGTATTTACTGGCTTTGATTTTTTTCAAAGGAAGAGGTTAAAAATCGTTCAGTTTATCAGGCCATTAAGGTCACAGTCACAATCCACATACAGTCGCATGCAAAGTATTTTATTTTCATGAAGACAATTCCTTTGAATCTCCAGGTGCTGTCCTTTGCACGCCTCTGGAAATACTCCTGGACATGACTGTCTTTCCTGCAGCTGCAGACAGGGTCAGATATGATATAGTAAATAAACATGCTCTGGAAAACAAAACAATACAGACTGTGTGACACTGAGCTTCCTCGAACAGCATCTGCAACACAAGCAGGCGTGACAACCAGAACTCAAAAAACATAACACAGGCCGGCTGGCTTTTTAAAGCTGCCATCACTAATTAAATTTGAGATCTCCAAAACTGCATTACTCCCAGTCACAACTTTATTCTCTGTAAACAAGGATGTAAGAAGATGTAAGATATTCCTGATAACATTCTTCTAATCAACAATGGCCACTCCAGATATCCACAACGTAAACCCTCCTAGGACAAATAACACCATTCTTGCTAGCCAATGTGTATTTAGCTTTTAATTTCAGATACACATGTTGTCATTCATCCAGAAAGAACTCTCTGGATATCTGTACAAAAAAAACCCCTCACATTTCAGATAACCACTGTACAATCCAGTAGTTACTCTTACTAATCAGAATTTGAATTATGGATATTCAAAATGAACTTCTGTGCATATCTGAAACATTAAGTGTAAAGCCTGATACGTGTGAAGGCCAAAGTGACGTCATTTGTCTTTAACTGTGTCAAACTTTAGAAGTTTTAGATCCAGATATGTATCCGGCCCTACATAAATCTTACTGTAGATCTGCGCTTCTGTGTCATATTTTGCTGAGCATAATCACTTCTGTTGTCCTGGCTTTGACAAATGAATCAGTCACTTCATTTTTGAAGGGTGATGAAGGCACAAAACTGCAGAAATTCGTAGTTTGAGGCTCATCATGATATACAGTCTGGTTACTGCTGCCGTGTTTAGCTGGATTGCAGTTGACCGTCAGATATATGTGAAAACAATTCCAAGGTGGAACCAACGCAGACAGATGGACATTAACAGGCCACACCATCGCAACCAAGCTTAACCAGAGCCTCGATAACTTTAAATCAGAAAGCTGGAAATTATTTTAACTACAGCAAAAGAAAAAAAAAAGTTTTTATGCAACTCTTTTGGTACAAGGAGTGGTGGCTTTACATGCTGAGAAAAAATCTATTAAGACCACCACACCTCCTAATCCTTTGTCCGTGTACCAGGGACATATTTTAACAAGCAGTGCATGCCTGGGCATCTTCCTGCATATTGTATAATTTCCTTTTTTATACCCATTCATCAATCCATGTACATGCTGGTACATGGATAATGGAAGTAACCAAGTGTGAAAATTTAAATAAATCTATAGCAGTTTACCTGAACATGCCAACGGTAAAAATGACTCCGATGTAGAGCGATGTAATTGAGGCGCTTTCCTTTGACATCTATGCGTGCCAGTGTCTCCTCTGAATAGGTGTTTCCTTCTTTCACACACTTTTTTTTGTCAGTGCACTCCCCCAGAAAAAAGGTGAGATGATTAATGTTTGTACAAAGTGGCGCAAAACACCCGTGTCTCCGGTTTTCTGTTGCAATGCAGTGTAACTATGTTCTCATACTCTTTTTGACCCTTTCATACATGCACTCCTCACGTTTTCAGGAGAGCCTGCCATGCCTGACATTTTCCAAAGTTCCTTTATTTAACATGTGTCCCTTATAGCTGGAGATTGTCCAGGTTGGGTGGGCGGAAGTTGGTTTCAGGAGTCAGGGCTCGGTGTAAAAAGGACACTGCGGAAGTCATAGTGTATTAATGTTTACAACACATCCAATTATATGAACATTATGATGACAGTTTTTTGCCTTTATTATCAGTGCTATGTGTAATGGAACATTGTCAGTGTATAAAGAAAAAAGTGTACACAAAAATATAAAGTTGCAAGCCACAAAAAGAGTATGAAGCTACTTCATTACCTGAAGAACGAGCCAAGTGGTTTGGCACTGATTTCTTGATACACCCTCTTGGCCACTTGCTCCCTTGTATTTTCCTGATTATTACATGCTGCTACTCACATCAGCTCACCCACTTGTGTACTTTTTAGTAGACGGCTGGCGGGAAGATTTCCAGATAAGGTCCAGGTGAAACATTCAACCGTGCATTCACACTTGGAGCTCACCCGGACTGGATCATTTCAGAAAATGATCAGGACTGCAGTGTATGTGTGAAAGGAGCTCGGGTTACTTTTACTTTCATTGTTTTACTGTAAACTAACCAAGTGCCAAATCCTGAAGGCTCTCTTCCACCTCAGCTGTGTATGTTTGAGGAAATGCATCACTTTGGCCGCTGCCAGCTCTGTGGACTGTTAACCTTACTGATCTCATAGCACTGAGCTAAAGCATTGCTCCTGCTTGAATCAAGAATAAACCGACTGTTGGTGATTTTCAAACTGAATTTTGCTATTAATGTGATTGGATGTTATGCAGAGTTTATAGTATTTGATCATTAAGCAATAGTCACATGCTGAGATCTACATTGACGCAGTTTTTTGTGGCTTGAAGTGTTGTGTTCCTTTTTGTCCATGCTGGCTCTACAGACATATTTCCAAACATGTGTGTTCAGTCAAAGCTGATCTGAGGCATTCATTGTGTTTCTTTGTTAAACTTTGGCAGAGAGAAAAGGTAACGCAAAGAGGGAATTAAAAGAATGTAACTCTTGAAGGTCCCCTCTTGATTTTGTCTTAGACTTCGGTAGAAAGTATTTTTACAGAGTGAGGACTGGAGATGTTTTATTAACACTTAAATCGATTCAACAAGGACCCTCTCGAGAGCCGTTGTGGACAAGGAAAATATTTATAGTGATTTCTTACACTTGGAAAATATTATGAGTCCATCCTTAAATATGTTTGCACTGTTTGAAAATGTTAAAACTACTGACCAAAGTAAAATAGTTGGTTTTAATTTTTAACAGGAGAGTGTGTTTTCAGCGGTGCACATGTGTTTTGCATTGGTTCTACAGATTTATTTGTTAGCTGTTTGAGTCCTGGGTGCAGCTGTAAGTGTTTCTGAGAATACTTTTTGATTATTCAAACATGTTAACAACAAACATCTGCAGTTTCTTTAGAAGTTCTGATCTAAATGTTGGGATGTTTCTGTGATAAATCCACTGAAATTATTTTCTGCATTATTGCATTAACGACATCCTTATAAGGTTCATTGTTATGATCTTACACCTGTCATGTCATCCAAAGAGAAACAGTTAACAGTGAGTCATGTCTAAGTACTGCACTGCCAAGAAATTCAAACTGATGTAAATAAGCTTTTCTTTTGTGTATTTTAAAACAAGTCAAATGCATGCAAGACGTCTGAACAGCTGAGGCTGAACCTCTGTGTACATATCATCTGTATATACTCTAGGGATTTCTTAAAAACAAACAAACATGGACGATATAAAATAAAGTCAAATTCTTTGCTTCTCAGTCTGACTTGTCTCTCCGTGCATCTCGAGGTCTAAAACTCCATGGTTTAAAGTTAAACCACAGCATCTCCTTATATGGAAAACTGTGATTAGTGACTATCCTGGACTTTATTTCTGTGTTGTCAGTTGGCAACATCAAACACATTGTGGGAATTTAGTTACGGTAGTTTTATTTTCTTTGTTTAATTTAATTGTGTGAGTCAACATTGTTAGTACAAAAAGTGCATTTCCTGTTAAGGTAGTTTTCAACTGAGCAAACAAAGCTGTAATGTATGGAAGTCAAACACCTGATGTGAAAATATGAGCTTCAGTCAGTCAGAAAAGACATCATGAATGATGTCCACAGCTGTTAATTTTACTGACTAATGCAAACTCCCCAATTTTGTGTCACCTGCAGTATTTCCTCTTCCTCTTCCTCCTCCTCCTCCTCCTCCTTACTGTATGGTGTAAGCTGTCTTCTGTTGTGGACAGTCCAAAATTCACAAGGCAGCAATTTCTCTTTTATATCACATTAAAAGTCAAGAAGCCAAAAGGTGGTAAAAATCTGAAAGGATATACGGCCAGATTTCAAAGTAAAACAACATATTTAACAGCCTATAAGCTACCCTCGCAGGTTGGCTAATGTAATCATTCAGCCACTTCCTCGCTAAGCTACATTTTTTAATAGTGTAACCATAGACTGTATAAAACATGAACGTAGTCTCAGGGACATTACCTGTAGAATTCTGAAGTGGACTCTCGAAGCCTTACGATCATGGCGGCCATATTGGAAAAGCTGTCTCGACCTACCATTCGATCAGTCAAGAAACAGTCAAAGACTTGGAGCTGAGCCTTAGCCTTCTGGCACACAGGTTCAATGCAAATGCTTGTCAGTCATATCATATTAATTTCATCAAACCCGATGAGTTCTAAAAAATGTCACCCCTCCTACAGTGTAAAGACTTGAGCTATTGATAACCAAAGAGTTTTTTGAACCAGGGTGTAAACATGTTCGTTACTACTGTAGAAATGGTCATTTTAATATGACTTTCCAGGGCTTTTGCAGCCTGCCTCAGGTGGTCACTCAACGAACTGCAGTTTTTTTCACTTGCCCACTGGCTTCATTTTTCAACAGGGGAGATAGATTTGATTGATTTGATTGATTTGATAGATTTGAAGCCAATGCAGAAGTGCAAAAAAACTGCAGTTCCTCGGATAAACACTTGAGGCTGGCTCAAAAAAACAGGGAATCCCCACTAGAGCCTCTGTGTACTGTATTTCCCCTAAACCCTATTTGTTTCCCTGCCTTCCTGCTAAGCCCACACACACACTCCCCCAAAGCTGCAGTCTCTCCAGTTAGAGCTGCAACCTGAGCTGCATGTTTCTTTTGGATCTCCTTTCCAATCGGATCTATCAGTGTGACCTATCTCTTGACAGTCTTCCACAGCTTTCTGTGAGCTTTTGCTGGTTGCCTGTATGACTGGTTTTAAGTTAAGCTTTTTGATTAGCTCGCCTCTTTCCTGGTCAGGTGCCAAATTTAAGCCATTGGAGATATGGTCCAATGAGTCCCACCTGGACTCATTGGACCATATCTGCCATGTCTTTTTGTATTGGGTTCATGTTCTGGCTATTAACCTCGACTCTGACACGTTATCTTTACTCTCAACCACACCCACAAACTGTATTGGCAAAGACAGACACAATGTCTGATATTTTTTGGATCTAAGCTTCCATGAGTGAACCCACCACCAAAGTGTCAAAGCAAAACTACTTACTTATTTTATGCGGTATTTGACATAACATCCGGTGTTAACCTTGGCAAACATTTCATGTTTGTCGTGGCAGCTCATCATGGCGGCTGCTGCGACAAGACAATTCCCGTTGCAGCTATAAAATTTCTATTTCTATTTCTCTGGCCTTGTAAAGTTTTGGAAATATTTGAGGTAATGTAAGTACGTAAGTAGTAAAAAATGTAAGTTGTAAAAAATGATAACATAGGCTTAGTCAATTTTTTATTAATTTAGATATTTGAATTACTAGTCAACAAACAGTTTTAAGCCTCACTAGTTGGGGTGTAAGTGTCGAATAAATGCTCAAGGAGCTTTCCATATACAGTAGGCTACAAATGACAGATCTGGCAGCCTCATGTTATGCTTTTCAAAACATGTTCTTTTACGTTTTTTTTAGTGTTGCGGATATCTAAGAAACACTATTGAAAATGAAATGAAATAAAATAACGGTAGTTGTTACCTCGTTAGGACTTCCTCTTCTCATCACACCATGTTATTACTCACGTGAAAACAACACCTATGCGGATACGAGATCATTACAGCATTTAAATGGATCAGTACTCAGGAGGAGCTTCATTTCTCCCGGTGACATAAACTCTGCCTGAACCTTCCCCGCAGTCATGTAAGTACCTTTGGTTCAATATTATTTAATATTTGCATATTGCTAAAGCGAACTCATTTGTGCTTTTAGTTCCGCTAGTTGCTTAGTTGATGACTAAGATTTGTTTTTATTTCTATTTCTTTTTTTTTTCCTGTAGCACTTTGAGATTTTTTTTTTGCAAAAATGTAAAGTGCGTTACAAATTAAATGTATTATTATTATTATTACTTCGTTCAGTCTTTTTTTTTTTTGTCTCCCAGCAGCGAGATGGCGAGTAAATCCTGGGCGACTCATCAAGCGACATTACTGCTGCTGCTTTTAACCTGGAGGGAGAACTTGCATTGTGATGGATTTACAGGTTGATCCAGATTTGTTTTCAGCTAATAACGTGTTAGTTCCACGAGAAAAAAACAAAACAAAAAAAAACAGTTGCATGCCAATCCTCAGCTGTCTGTCCTGATCTTGATGTTAGACGTTTTTAAACAGAAATAAATATCACAATATGAATGGTTATAGTTGCAAGAATAGGTGCCAGTTTGCAAACGTTACCAAGTGGAGGAGCTCTCCCAAAAGATGAACTCAACGCACTGTGTAAATATAAGAAATGTTTTTCATGCAGTGGACCCTCCTGTGAACCTCATGATAAATGACCCTGGTCACCTTGGACACCTCGAGATTACATGGAGCCCCCCAGTCAACTTGATCAACATGACAGAGTGCTCAAAACTGTATCATCTGGAGTACTTCAACACCTACAGGAGCAGCTGGAGTGTAAGTTTCACCATTTAATTAAACTCAGTTTGCAACCGGATAATAATAACGTTCATGTCAAGTCAAGTCTATTTCTTGACAATCACAAATTCTCCAGAAGAGGCTGTACAGTTTAACACACCCTTTTTCATGATCATCTTACCTACAAAGTTTGAGATCCAGATTCCGCAGAGTTAACATTCTGAAAGTTGTGTGGCGAGAAAATCAAACTATAAGAACAATACAAATCTTGGTATTATGTTTTCAACATCTAGACATGCTTTTTGAATGGGCAGGATGACTTTTGTCATTCTGATTTACTTTGGAAAGTGTCTGCAATGGTTTGATAGGGGGAAGGAGTGAGAGAATTTATAGTTTTGAATAAGACTTTAGATTTGTGTTTTGAAGCAAGATCAGAGAAGTGTTTTGCTGCCTCTTTTGGTTTTGTTTGTTTTATATCTCATTTATAATTTCATGGCTTTTTTTAAATTGTACAACACGTTGGTCAGCTTCTGCTCTTTTTAAATGTGCTTTATGAATAAAATTGACTTTAATTTATAAATAAAAACTCAGTGATTTAGCAATTGAACAGGTTTGTAAGTATATTCCTGCAGATATTACACTTTCTCTGCACATGTAGTGTAGCAGGCTGGATAGACTTTTGTTGTCTCTGTGGAACCTGTCCTGCAAACATAATTACATTTGCAAATCTGACTGATGGATCATGCATTTAGATGCATTTAGTTCATTGGAAAAATACACTAGTTCTTTGTATTATTAGAACAGCAATAGGTTATATCATGATACACGAGTGCAGTGTGTTGGGTTGTAAATCTGCAACAGTATGATTTATTTCTGTAGTCATATCCTCAGGAAGAAGTAGGCAGCTTAATTGGCCATCGTAAAAAAAATCCAAATTTCTTCAGAAGCTTCATGCAACTTCATGCAGCCTGAAGACTTTTCATTCCTTCCACGATCCTTTAAAGTCAACCTCTTAATAAGCCTCTCATCACAGCTGATAAATTTGCGACCAAGGTAAACTTTTAGCATTTATCGGCTATAGCTGTCACAGCTGCTTTCTCCAGAATGTGATTTCTTTACGTCAAAAGGCAAGATGTCTGAACCTCAAAAACCCCTATGAGCCCGACTGAACCAAACGTTAAATGATTCAGTCAGGCTCAGTGTGTCTGCACAGACATGGTGGTGACTTAACAGTGACTGTCATGTGTGACGTACATTTATGACGAACCATTCCAAAGACAATTTCTGTGACTTGACTGATGACAGAGACTATTACAATGGCTGTGATTGTGGCGATGATGACGAGAACGTCTAGACGACACTGAATTTGATAAGAACAATTAACTCCTCCTTCACAGTCTCATACAATCAGGTCAGTGTGATTTGTAGATGTTTTTATTATGAAACACAGCAGCTATCAGAGTTGGTACATTACTCAATGCAAAACTTGGCAGGCATGAAGAGTGTAAATCTTTATTATGCTTAAAAGCCTCAGGATATGATGTTTCTGGGTTTACAAACTGACAGACAATAATCACCTTTGTCTACACGCCCAGTACAAGCTTAGTGTCAGTTTTCCCTTTCAGTCAGGAACACAAACTATTATTAGTTGGATCAAAGTACACAAAACCACATGAAAATGACAAGACGTAATCTGAATGACAGGTTTGTGTGTCTGGATTGGCAGGTCGTAAGGACACCTAAGAGGAAGTACACGGCCCAGTTCGATTTGATGAAAGATGTAAGAGTGCGAGTGTACACCGTGCTGAGTGGATCTTGCACAAATGGCACTGTGGTCATGAGCATCAACTACACGGAACTTGTGCAGAAACCTCCTGGCACAGGTTGGTATTCAAGAACTTTGTTCACACGTTGCAAAATTTTTAAAACGACCCAAAGTTGGGCTGCATGTGCTAAACAGCCAACATTACATCCCAACTTCGATACCATACAACATGCTACGATATGAAGACTAAAAGATAAGAATAACATGACGCTATTGCACAACCCATACAGCCTTACACAATTTTGAACGACGTGGGCACAAACACGTTTTCAAAACGGTTCAGTTTACATTTGGTGACTCTGTATCGTCTGCCAGATGGTTAGAGCTCATACTCAGAGTGGAGTCTGAATCCCATACCTGAGGATACACGCCAACACAGGCTGCTAAAACAGAAACACTGGCATGCTTTGAACATTGCACTGAGATTTACACACTTTCCTCCTGCTGTGAGGGACATGTGGTGAAAGTAGAACTCAGGTCAGAACAAGGGTCAGGCTGTCCTCATATTTTCTATACACTTTCAGGAGGAGGGCATGTGTGAAAGGACCTATAATGGATTTGTAAAAAGAATGATTTTTCTCTCTACTTTTTGACTTCAAGGTGCTGTGGGTACAGCAGTTCAAAATGTTGTCTGTGTGAACCACAACATGAATTACATGGAGTGCAAGTGGGAAAGAGGCCCAAAGACAGCAGCCAACTCACAGCAGAATTTATATTTCTGGTAAGTTGTATGCCAATCAAAGACAATATTTAGCCTTGGCAGCTGAGGTGCAAAGTTTAGATTGATTCCCTTAAACTTTTTGAAAATGTTCATGGTTCTCAGAAGACAGGTGAAGTGATAACATTGGTGACGTGGCAGTGGGTTGGATATGTGCAGGTGAATATTTTGTAAAAAATTCATTCTTAATGAAGCTCTCCCTAACTCTGACGGTGAGATAAAGAGTCAACCCAGAGTTCTGGAACCCAAGGATATATATACTGTAAGCTTCCCACACCAAGATTCCCTTACCCTCCTTGGCAAGGGTGATTGCCATGCCCAAAATATTAAGATTTGAGAAGCTAATAAATTGAATTATCTTTATAGGTCATCAATTATAGGCAGTGCATTTGTTTGTTTGTCTCTTTCCCAGGTACAAGGAACTCGGGCAGGTGGAGGAATGCCCCAAATATCTTATTTCAAAGGGCTATAGGAGCGGCTGTAATTTCACAGGGATTGCTCTCCCTGATTTCACTGATATCATCTTCTGTGTAAACGGCTCCTCCCCGGACGGGCCCCTGAAAGCAACATACATCTCCCTGCAAATCCAGAACCACGGTACGTGCCTGTTTACCATCTCAGGCCCAATCATGCCCTCATGTTTTGTTTCTGTTTAGTTCAGCTTCACTGTTCTCATCAGAATATGCTGCATGATTTCCTCTGACCTGCCAGTCTTGGTCCTGAACCTATTCTTAAAATCTTCCCGCAGTAAAGCCTGATACTACAGAAAAACTGCATCTAGAAGCAGGTCCAGACATGCAGTTGGAGCTACAGTGGAACTCTCCTGTTAGCCGGATTCCTAGACACTGCCTTGAATGGGAGGTGGAGCACAGTCAGGAGGGACCTGATGGGAAGATTGCATCGGTATGCATCACCTAACACGTCAAAGATACATACTGTACTTTTTTGATAAATTTTACACTGCAGAAAACAGCTTTATGTTGCTTTCAGATTTACAAACTGCAAGAGCACATTTTTAATAATGAAGTGTTTTATTTAATCTTATAAAATAACCATTGATTTTGTTTTTAAATTAGTCATATTACCCATTGTGTTCATTACCTATCTTTCCCTTTAGTCCCTCTGTCAGGAGACGTTCCTGCCCCACCTTTATAAATAGTCTAATTATAGTATTAGACATATTATATGTCAACACTAGTCAAGGAGACAAAGCCCTGTTGACATTTTGAACACCTTGAGAAGATGGAAAACTTAAACCAAAACATGATCTCACGCCTCTGCATTTAATGAGTTACAATTACAATAATTATGCCGTATGTCACGAGGCAGTGAAACAAATTCAGCATATGATTTGTCACGCAAAGACCACAACACATAAATACCAGAAGAGCGAAGTTTAAACACCTTCATATCACCATCTTTGAAGAAGGGATAACTAAGAAGAATAACTGAAATCAGTGGAGACTTGAAAGAACATTTCTTGGTCCTTTTTCTGTCATTGTCCAGGTTTATGTGCAGTTTGGTGTTGAGCACTCAAAACAATGAGCTCAAGACACTGAGAAGCTCATAACTTACTTTTATCCCAGACAACACAGTATCCGCACTATATTAATGAGAAAATGTCTGAGATTCTGAAAATTGAGCTGTAACTTTTATATTATTTAAAAACCTCCTAACCTTCTGTTTACCTTCGGCAGGAGAAGATTTTGATCACTGAGATGAGTCTCAGTCTGCTCTCCAAACACAATAACAAGAGAGACTGCTTCAGAGTTCGATCCAAATTGCATAAATATTGTGCAGACAAAGGATTTTGGAGTGACTGGAGTCTGCAGACATGCCATCCAGGTAATAATTTAACAATTCACTAAATTAACCAACACCTAGTAAAATATGTATATAGTAAAAATGTATGCAAATAAAATAGTATACATTTAAGGTCACATATTATGCAGAATGCACTTTACCATGGTTTTCAAACACTAATACGTGTCCCCAGCTTCTTTACAAACCCCCCCAATGAATGAGAAAAGTCCATCCTCTCTGCATTTGGCCTGCTCCACTTTTCAGAAAATGTGACATCACAAAGGGCAGTAACCCACTCCAACAGCAAGGTGTTTGTTCTGCTCACTAAATCTGCCTTCTCACCGTAAAAAAATAGGGCACCGAGCAAGAAAGCCAAAGCCACCCAAGCCCTTCCAGAGGGGGGCGTGGTTGAACACAGTGCATTTGCATTTAAAACTACAGACACAGAAACAGCCTGTTCTGAGCAGGGCTGAAATAGAGGGGTTTATAGGCATGATCAAATACAGAATCAGAGCTGATTTTGAGCAAGAAACTTCACAGACATGTTTTAGGGAGCTCTGAGACTTATCTAGTTGAAAAGGAGAATAATATGTGACCTTTAAAATTTAAAGCAAGAAGTCTGTTTACCTAAGTCGGACACACAAGCTCATTATGGAAACTGGGCGTTTTTAGAACTGACAATGAGTCATAGAGTCACCGTCTTCTTCTGGAGGTTCTCATGAGATCTATTCTCATTCACTGTGAATGTGATGAGTCACAGATATAACAATTACAAGTTAGAGTTTTTATGGTTTAGTTCTTTTGAACATTTGAAGGCTCTTTTGATGTTTGTCTCAGAGGGTAAATCATCAAACCAGCAAACTAAGATGTAGAGCAACTTTCTTTGTCTAAAGCCACGTCAAACCAGCACTCATGAGAAACATTAACTTTGTGGATCACCAGCAGGAAGGCCCTGATGATGTCATCAAATAGTAAGTTTAATTTTTCTCCTCTACTTTAATTATTTATTTGATAATGGAACAAATAATGCCCATATATGGCAACATTGTTTTTTTAAAGGGTCCGTCTTTTTTTTTTTCAAATATCAGATTGGATTTAAGTTCATCTTGTTTTTATAATATCTTGTTTATCAAGTGAACACCTAAGGCGTTAAAATACTGAAAGCTGTAAAAAAAACAAAAAACAACAATAAATATTTATAATTAAATTGATGTTTTAAATGTGTTGTTTTGTTAATTATCTTATTTATGCAACTGCAGCCAGATCCATCAACAGCAACACAAAACACAAATTGTGCAAAATACACATAACCATGTTTTCTTAACACTAATATGTGTTTCTATCCTGTATTCAAACCCCACAACTATGAGAAAAGTCCATCCTCTCACTCTTTTGCCTGCTTCACTTTTTAGAAAATGTGTGCTCAAACAGGCTTTTGAAAATGTTCCCTGTGTGACATCACAAAGGGCAGTAACCCCTCCCCCAAGTGGGTGACACTCCCACACCTAGGTATTTGTTCTGTCTCCTGAGTCTGCCTACTCACCGTGAACATTTGGGCATGGAGCAAGAAAGGCAAAGCCACCCAAGCCCTTCCAGAGGGGGTGTGGTCAGACACAGCTCATTTGCATTTAAAGCTACGGACACAGAAACAGCCTGTTCTGAGCAGGGCTGAAATAGAGGGGTTTATAGGCACGATCAAATACAGAATCAGAGCGGATTTTGAGCAAGAAACCTCACAGACATGTTTTGGGGAGCTCTGAGACTAATTTAAACTTATTTAAAAGGAGTATAATATGTGACTTTAAAAAACAAATATGAGAACAAAATAAACTTTAAAAAATGCACCATTGTTTGTACTAACCTTTTATTTGTCCTTTTTATAGCCACGAGTAATGCCAAGGTTTACTCATTGAGACGGGAAGGACAAAAGATGACCCTGTTTAAGGCTTAAGAGGGTGTTGCTAACACACAGGACAATATGGGGATGTAAAAATAAAGTATAACGTGTCTTTTTGTGAATGAACTGTATTTTTTAAGCTTTAAAAAAAGCCCAAAAGGCCCATGCTTCACTTGTGTTGTATCTGTTTGTTTTTGTTCATTTGAATAATTGGTTGTTATTGATTCACTTTGGCGCCCTGGTGTTAGAAGAAATAGTCAGTTGTTACAAGTCTGCTGTCTGTATTTCTACCATGTTATCTTGTATCCACATCACCAAGGCAACGACACAGTCGTTTAATTGTGATTGATTTCTGAGAGAAAGGGGCAAATGGAGTGATCTTGTTTGCCTGATTGTTTTTTGTTTTTTTTGTTGAAGGAACATTTTTGTTACTTCAGGTGTATAGCTGTACTTATGAAGATTCTCAATAAACAAATCTGATCTAGCTCTGTCTGAACATGTAGGAGTAGCCTACAGGTTAAATTGTCGGGCTTGGAATACTACGCTGTTGTTTGCACTGCACTTCTTCACATTTGACGGCAACCATGTCCTAACATTGCACAGGGACACACATTGCACCGTTCAACTTGTGTTGAAATTGGCCTCAGATATTCCTGCCTCCTTTCCTGTTCAATTGAGGTTCCTGTTGCATGTCCACAAACTCTGAAACATCTTGAATGGTATATGTTGAATAGTGAATAAACTGTACGTTTAATGGTTGATTACTTGCCGGATGTCTTGCCACTTTCCTGGAGACATTGATGTTAAAATGTGTGTACCAACTGTGACATAAAATATCTGTTGCTTCAAATGGAGAAATGAAGTTCACGGTTGCTCCGCTTTTTAGCATCACAGTGTTTTCACAGAATGAATAAAAAAGTTGATAAAACTCTAGATTGCTTTTAATCTCCTTTATTGCACTGCAACATCAATCGATACGCTGATGACACTATATTGTCTTCCATCTGTTTTGTCTTTTGATGACCTCCAGGCCTCTTTTATCAATTAACAACTGGTTTTGTTTAGACAGTGGAGAACTCATTTCTGAAAGTAAAGAGCTCTGAATACTTTGTGAAAATCTGAAGATTCATTACATCATTATTTTAGAGAGGTTACATCACAAATCCTAAAAAAAATGGCATGTCACTCAAAAATGAAAATGAAAATTTTGATTTGAAAACTAAGCTTATTTTTCCTTTTTTGCATGTGCGTCTCTACTGCCTGTTGTTTCAGATATGATCCAAGTGTCACCTAATCCTGAATGGGACGTTGTACCTGTCTACGTGTGTATCGCTGTCGCCATCATAGCTGTGGTGGTGCTGTCGCTGTGTGTGGGCGCGGTGCTCAATGTGTGAGTAATTCAACAATTACAGTAAAACATTTCACAATCACAGATAAAGAGGAGTTCAACTCATTCCAAACTGTTTCGTCTTTGCAGGAAAAGGTCCAAACAAGAGAAGACCCAGCTCCCCCCAAGCGTGCCACAAAGTCCTCACTCACCTGAAATTGTAACCGCTGAGAGCAAATTTCTGAAGACGTGAATCATTATGCTGAATGTTACACTAACTACAGTATTATATTATCCCAACATGTTATACTACCTTTTATACAAATGCTTGAATTGATATGACCATCATTGAGATGTTTACCTGGAGAAAATGGTCTTTATATATATAAAATCATTTTCTACAAAACTTACCAGCTGATTGTGTGAGAAGAAATGACTTCAGAAGTAGCTACATATTTTAACCTCACACTTTGTTTTTGATGCTTTAGTGTTGCCACATCTCTTGCCAGTGGATTTTTGATCTGAACACCTCTACTTGATTTTATGGAAAAGGGCGACACCTTGTCCTGTACTATTTCAGCATTTTTTTTTTTTTTTTTGCCTCATCTCTCGCCAGTTAGCTAAGTCAGCATGTATTATATTACCACAACTGAGAGAGTATAAAGACAAAACACATATGTAATCACTTTGTATTAAGTCGTTATGGCACACTTTGAACGTGTGAAGTCTTTCATCACTTACACAGCTGAACTGAACGGAAATTGATTTTTGTTTATTGGTTACACAGCAATAAATACAAGTGTTTTTTATACCATGAAATCTTGCTGTTTTTTTGTTTTTTTTATCTGAAATGTTTTTTTCCCATGACTGACAAACTAGGATTGTGAAACTATCAAATCATGTTTGTTCAATGTTATCAGATATGACAGAAAATAAAACAAACCTCCCTTTTTGTATTTTTGATTTTATGCATTATTTAAAATGTGTCTGAAACTGCCGTTGCTTTGTGAAGCAAATATGGAACAAATAAAAATAATAATACTAGAGGACATCCAGGTTTGGGGTGCACGTATAGCTCAGACTGTAGGGACTTGGGGTTGGAAACCGGAGGGTCGCCTGTTGGTCTGGTAGCTGGAGACATGCCAGGGCAATTCAGAGTACTGTTGAGGATGCCCTTGAACAAGGCCCTGAACCCCTAACAGCTCTGGGATGCTTCCTGCGTTGCAATGTGGAGCAGGTCCTTTCTGGCATCTCTCCACTAATGCATAGCCACTGGTCTGTTTGTAAGTATGTAAAATAGAAAGATACTATTTATTTGACTATATTTTAAAAAACTTTTGAAATACAAGTTGTGTAAGCTGCTTTATTATTAAATGCGGTGTTTTTTATTGGCAATAATCCTCATCAAAATGAATTCAACCTATTCTTAAACTACGTTTTTTAAAGTGATTTCTCTGTAGAGATTTAGGTTTTGAATGCAAATATACAGTCATTGTTTAAATCCTGACCTACAGTATTCCTATGATTCTAACATCACTATATCAGCATTAGACATCTTCATTAAGTGATCATATCTCAGCAGTGTCTTTCTCAGCTATGAGTGTATCTTTCTGTGTAGAGGAGGAGACTGCAGCTGAAACTGACACTATGAACTGAATGTGTGCTGAATTCCCGCCTTGTCTAAAGCCTTTTTTGTAGAACTAAAACAGGGTGATCGTTCATCACTCACACAACAGATCTAATCATTCATGGGTAATTTACTGTCCGATGTCAAAACATTTACGACGCATTGTTGGTATCTATCAGCAGGGATGGTGACACAAACAGAAAAGAAGACCACCATGTTTGTTTTGCACTTCATGATTTTTCAGAGGAATAATTGAACTTCTTTGAGAAATAACTCACCGGACAGTCAATTTGATCTCTCTGCATCAGAACAGCACCAGCTCCCACCTTACTGGCATCCACAAAGAGACTGAAAGGCTTCTCCATCTGTGGGGCAGCAAGGACAGGGGCAGAACACAAACGCGACTTAACCGTTTCAAATGCTTTTTTGGCAGGTCTCAGTCCATTCGAACTTCCTCTTAGGGCTCACAAGAGAAGTTAGTGGAGCTGCTATTGTAGAGAAATGTTCACAGAACCCATGATAATAGCCTACAATACCCAAGAAGCGAGAGAGATCCTTCCTAGTGGCTGGAACAGGTAGAGCTATCAGGGTGAGCATTCATCGCTCACACAACAGATCTAATCTGTAATTTACTGACCGAGGTCAAAACATTTCAGTAAACAGTCACACACGCGTTGTCGGTAATCGCTGAAATAACTTGAGATATCCATAATCTGTGTGTTCTATCAGCAGGGATGGCGTCACAAACAGAAAAGAAGACCACCATGTTTGTTTTTTCACTTCATGATTTTTCAGAGGACTTCTTGGAACAAAGTTTTCTTTCCTAGAAGTCAACCTCAGTTACTTCAATCCCGGTGAATGACTGAACAACAAAAATGTTAAAGATACATTTATACATCCAGCAAAGTTGTGTTTGTGTTAAACTCATGAGTTTCCTTGGTATAAAAAGCTGCATACGTGCCCATTTCAAACAGTTACCTGCAGTAGTGTAGAGGTGACTAAAGAAGTGAGTATACTCTTCATTTTTCTCACAAATGTTTGTGTTCAAGTGGCCCATCCAGCAGAGGATAAACAGCATTTATCTATGTCATAAACTCCTCCTGCATACTTAATTAGTACTAGCCAATTAGAGACAGAGAAGGGTCACCCCTTCACCATCCTCAGAAATAAATTGAGGCATATGACTGAATATCGTCTGAATCAGAGGGGATGTAGAAGAAGTGGGTATACCCTATGGAGAAAAAAAACAAGTGGGTATACCTTTGTGTACCTGTGTATACCCTGCATTACTGTTACCACCTGGCTCATGGCAGGTAACAAAGGTGGAAGGCCACACAGAATTACTCATTCAAATAATAGTTTAATTAACAAAAGTGTCACATAGATACATACATACATGAAGGTCAACCAGTTGACAATAGATCATAGACATAAATGTACAGATGTTTGCAGCATGCCCCATCTGAGAGAGAGTGAGCACATCTCTTGGGCAGGCCTAAATAACCTTCTGAAGCCCTTACTCAGCTGAGCAGGCACCAGCTGACGACCCTCCCAGCTCCACTCACATTCCAACTCCAATCACCTGGTTAGAACACAAGGCTGAGAGACAGGAAACACAAAAACAGACGGACAGAGTAGGAGCAGAAAGGGAGGGGTCGTCACACCCCCACCCTTAAGATGGGAGTCCTCACTGGATTCCCAAACATGTAAACTACACATATCAATTAACAACTCAACTTACACCCCGAATTTACAAGTGAGCGATTGGGTGTCAAGTACTATCGGGTATAACTGTTCATTTTAACTTGTGACTTCATACAACCTGCAAGAACTCTCGATCCTTTGGTTTGGATTTTGGAGTGCGTGTAGAAAGGTCAGTGGATTATGATCGGTGTATACCACTAAGGAACTAACTCCACCCCCTACATATACCTCAAAGTGTGTCAATGCCCAGATGAGCGCTAGAGCTTCTTTCTCAATAATGGAATAATTGAACTGGTGTGAGTTGAACTTCTTTGAGAAATAACTCACCGGACAGTCAATTTGATCTCTCTGCATCAGAACAGCACCAGCTCCCACCTTACTGGCATCCACAAAGAGACTGAAAGGCTTCTCCATCTGTGGGGCAGCAAGGACAGGGGCAGAACACAAACGCGACTTAACCGTTTCAAATGCTTTTTTGGCAGGTCTCAGTCCATTCGAACTTCCTCTTAGGGCTCACAAGAGTTAGTGGAGCTGCTATTGTAGAGAAATGTTCACAGAACCCATGATAATAGCCTACAATACCCAAGAAGCGAGAGAGATCCTTCCTAGTGGCTGGAACAGGTAGAGCTATCAGGGTGAGCATTCATCGCTCAAACAACAGATCTAATCGTTCATGGGTAATTTACTGTCCGAGGTCAAAACATTTCAGTAACAGTCACACACGCGTTGTCGGTAATCGCTGAAATAACTTGAGATATCCATAATCTGTGTGTTCTATCAGCAGGGATGGCGTCACAAACAGAAAAGAAGACCACCATGTTTGTTTTTTCACTTCATGATTTTTCAGAGGACTTCTTGGAACAAAGTTTTCTTTCCTAGAAGTCAACCTCAGTTACTTCAATCCCGGTGAATGACTGAACAACAAAAATGTTAAAGATACATTTATACATCCAGCAAAGTTGTGTTTGTGTTAAACTCATGAGTTTCCTTGGTATAAAAAGCTGCATACGTGCCCATTTCAAACAGTTACCTGCAGTAGTGTAGAGGTGACTAAAGAAGTGAGTATACTCTTCATTTTTCTCACAAATGTTTGTGTTCAAGTGGCCCATCCAGCAGAGGATAAACAGCATTTATCTATGTCATAAACTCCTCCTGCATACTTAATTAGTACTAGCCAATTAGAGACAGAGAAGGGTCACCCCTTCACCATCCTCAGAAATAAATTGAGGCATATGACTGAATATCGTCTGAATCAGAGGGGATGTAGAAGAAGTGGGTATACCCTATGGAGAAAGAAAACAAGTGGGTGTCTACCTGTGTGTACCTGTGTATACCCTGCATTACACCAGTGGTTACCTGCCAAAGTTTATGTTTGGCTCGTGCATTTTCTGTCCAGCATTTAGGAAGAACGAAAAATTGGTTGTTTTTAAAACATTATACATATAGATATGAAACCTTTCTTACAAGTGAGATATGGAAACGAATGGGCGAAGAGTTAAAGTCAGGATGTTCCCACAAGGTCCAATGAGGTCCTTAACTTTTTACCTCTGACACAAACTGTTTAGTGTTCCATGTTTTATTAATATT